TGCCTACTAATATACATATATATATATATATATATATACATAAATACATATCCATCTTTAAAATACAAAAAATAAATAACATCAATAGTTTACAATGATTACAATAATTAAATGGCAAGAATAATTGCAATAATGAATACAAGAATTAAATATAATGAAAAATTAAAAAAAAAAAAAGGTCCCTTTTTACTATGTGAGACATTGATCTGACAGATATTCTCTTTTCCCGAGATAGGGAGAGCATAGTTTTCGAATGGGATTTCTTCTGATTTCAGCAGTCACTGCTCTCACTGCATTTGCCATTCTCACAGGGACTGTCGAGGTCTATCACATGCAGATAGGGTCTCATTATATCTATTCATAGTGTGGTACACGAACATATGGCTGATACCTAAAGGTTTCAAACTGTTGAAAATCTCTGACCTACATTTTCCAACTTTGTGTAAGGCGATTACAGCTATTTTCTTTATCACCCCACTCCAAGTTAACTGAGCGAAAGAAAAATACAAACTAATTGGGATTATTATCCTGACATGTAAAGAAAATAACCTGATAGAGGTAAGGATTATCTAAATAATACCCAAGGATGTAAACAATGTTCAACTTTTTAACAGTATTTATGACAGAACTAGGTACATAAGTTAAATTTATTTACATAAAACAAGATAATGAATAATAGATATGGAATGTATTGCACTATTAAATCACAATGTTTTGTTTATAAAACTAATACTTTTTACTTTACAAACTAGGTCTTCTACAATAGCAAAACTGATGAATTCATTTATATATCTTTCTGATATAACAAAATTCGTGTTTCTTTTTAATTGTTGAATAAAAAAAAAAGATACTTGCTCGTTGTTTACAATATTCCTGTTTATTCTGAGAAGTTCCTTAATTATCCAACATACACAATCCATCTAAGAGATCTTGAGCACTAAGAAAGTTGATTTGTTCAACAATGATAAATATTGTACTTAAACATTTCTAATAACTAGAAAATAAATCCTAAAAATATAAAGACAACCTTGGATAACTAACTTTATGCTTTTAATTGGAACAATAATAATAATACTTTATTTATTCTGGGACAAGTCCTTTCAGAATAATAATACAGAAAATCAGAAATTTGAGCTAAAGAGCCTCAGAGATACATAATAAATCACAAAGTAAATAAATAGTCATAATAAAAAAAGTATAAGTTGTTTCTTACTTAAGAAAAATTAAATTATATAAATTAAGAAAAAAAACAATCTAAAAACATAAAATAAAAATAATTAAGAACGATCTGACAATTTATTTACATATTTATAGTGACACTTATTTACAATTTTATGAGTAGTGAGTAGATAAGAAATGATTGAACATGGCAGGATTTAAAGGTGGAGAGGGTTTTGGATCAGCGGATGTAGGAAGGGATGGAGTTCCATAAGAGTGAGGATCTGATCCTGGATGATCCGAAAGCGGTGATTTGCTGTGCCCTAGTATATAAATCTTGGAACGAGTATTGCGGGAACGAACAGAGGATTTGAAATGAAGGAGCTCGGTGATGTATGAAGGACAGTAGGATTGGATGACTTGGAAGAGGAATGATGCCAGGAAATACTTACGGTGATAGGTAGGGTAAAGCCACTTCAACTCTTCATGAAAACAGAGATCCCGAAGATGAATCATACTAAGCAATTTATCAAACGTTTTAGTTTTGCCTTGAGATCCCCAGAGATGCCTCCATATAACCTACAACAATAGTCCAAGTAGGGAAATATTAAGGAAGTTACTAGAAACCTATGAGTTTCAAGTGGAAATAGGTGAGGAAAGTAATTTAGACGTTTTAAGGTGGAAAAGTGTCATACCTTTTCCACCTTAAAACATCTAAATTACTTTCCTCACCTATTTCCACACCGAATCACTGCTTTCGACAGATCGTCCAGTATCCGATCCTCACTCTTATGGAACAACATCCCTTCCTACATGGAAAAGGTATGGCAGGAGTGTATGTTTCATGTTCCAGGAAAGTGTTTGATCATAGGTTATTCCAAGATTTTTGATGGTGAGATAAAATTTGATGGGATCATGTAGGAACAGGATTGGAATATCAGAAACAGTTTTAAAGAGGGAAATAGAGACTATTAGGATTGCCTTCGTCTTCTCTACATTCAACTTCAACTTGTTAGCTCCTGCCCTTCTGGTCTTCTTGAAGTTTTTTCGTATTTGATTATAGGTCAGAAGGCGGGAAGTACAGGTATATTTTGAAATCATCTGCATACATGTGGTATTGGGACTGATGGATTAGGAGGTTACATTAATGTAAATAGCAAACTGAGCAGGGGATAGAGAGGAACCTTGAGAGATACCACAAGACAGAGGAAGGGGTTTAGATGGAGATTAACCTGGGAGGACTACATACTGGAACCAATCTGAGAGGAAGCATTTGAACCAGTGTAGCTGTTTGATAGATAAAGATTTTGCAATTTGGTAAGGAGGATTTTATGGTCAAATGTGTCAAACAAACGCTTTGGAAAAATCTAGAAGTATGAGGATAGTGAAATTTTGGTGTTCAACGGACTTTTGGAGGTCATGGGTTATTTTAAGGAGTGCAGATTGGGTTGAGTAGCCAATTCAAAAGCAAGATTGGAATGGATTGATGAGGGAATGTTCCTCTAGGAAGTTGAAAAGTTGGTTGTGGACAAGGCGTTCCAAGTTTTGAAAGGTTAGAAAGGAGAGAAATAGGACGGAAGTCGTACAGTGCGGAGGGATTAGAAGTATTTTTCAAAAATTGGACTAGGGCAGTTTTCCATGGAGATGGGAATATGCAGTTTTGCAATGAAAAGTTGTAGATATAGTAACGTACAGGAAGGCTGGATTTTATTAGTTTCAGTGGAATATCATTAATGAGGGATTTTAGGATAGTAGAAAGTAGTTCATTGGACACATCCAGTGCTAAATTGAGAAGAGTACCTGGCTGCTGACAGTAGGATGTACTATTTTTTTTTTTAAATTTAAAGATATTATTTTAAAAAAGAAATAGAACTTAAATAAATAGTTAACCTGGACAAAACATTTTATATATATTTTTTTTCATATTGCATAATGAAATAAATATATGGTGATAATATAGCTTGCTCACAAGAATAAAGCAGGAAAAACGTTTCCTATCCACATATTAATTGACCTGATGAACGATTAAACTATAATTGAATTTTTTTTTTTTATTTGTTACAATAAATTAGGCCATTTTTCACCAACATTTTATTATTACGCATCAATTTGACGTTTCGACCATACTAAGGGTCATTTTCAAAACTGGAAAATTATAATATCATTATTAGTTAATATTCAGCAATTATAAAATGAATTTCTTATTACATTTAATTGAATTGTCTAACGTTCTATGTCAAATTATTTCCGATATACTTAAATTTATATAAAAATATACATCAAGTATACACTTTTTATTAAAAAAACCCATACATGTACGTAACTATAAACATTAAAAACTTTAACAATTAAAAACAAATGACTATTACCTTGATGAGTCCTCCTAATATGTTCATCATTAATGTTCTAATTAATATGTTCAGTGAACATTAACTTGTCATGCTATATAGGGGCTTCGCCCACGTCATTTCTGGAGGGACTGACTTATATCGTCCTGGTGGCGATAGTCAAAAGAAGAGGGATTTTCCTTCTAATGTTTTGCATTAGTGGGTTATTATATTATTATATACGAATTTTATTAATTATATTTGCGTAAAAAGTATTTATATTGTCCACATCTGTATGGTTGTTAACAGAATTATGTAAATTTTTTGTAATATATATATACTCTTTAATCTTTCTTTTATTGTTACTACTTTCCTTGTATATTATTTTGGCATTTTTAAAATCAAATTGGTGTTTGTTATATGTTGCATGTTGTGAAAGGCCGGTTGATGTGTTTGATTTGGACTTGCAATTTTGTTCATGTTGTTTCATTCATTTTACTCCCGTTTGTCCTATATAAGATTTATTAGTGCAATTTTTACAATTTATTTTATAAATAAGGTTATTTTTCATGTCACGTGGTATAATATCTTTGGTATTGATATACAATTTTTCAAATAAATAAATGGTGATAATATAGCTTGCTCACAAGAATATAGCAGGAAAAACATTTCCTATCCACATATTAATTGACTTGATGAACGATTAAACTATAACTGAAATGTTTGTTTTCATTTCACCTTAAATATAAATTTTATAAATAAACTTTCAAGGTATTTGGAGAGAAAAGTTACTTTCTAAAAAGGAGATATTTAGCATAAATTAAAAAAAAGTTTGAAATTGCAATGGTTTTTGGAGTACTACAGCGAACCCACAAGGCTTTCAAGGGCGGAAACTTAGGTTTTTTATATTCACTACATACCTCTAACAATTTAAAAAAGTAATTTGAATTACTCGACATTTGCAAGGTAACATGTCTAATTTGATTGGGCTAACCATTCTTTCCAAATTTTATTCACTTTGCTTATAATTTCTTGTGTCCATTTGTTGAGAAATGTAGAGGAATCTTACATATGGTGAATAAGAGCTTCTCACTGCTTCATCTGCTCCTTCGTCAGCTCTTTCATTGCCACTTATGTCTAAATGTGAAGGACTTATGCCCACAGCAGTGTTATTTCCTGATAATTTTTACATTGTCTTAAATTCATAGCTTTAATTTTTTTAATGTTATTTGTTGTTTGTCCATATATTTTGCAATCCCTTAATAACTGTTAATGAATCTATCACAACTAGACTTATTAATATTTTTTATAAATTTATTTTTAAGAACTTGATTCAGTTGTTGTAATGAATTGAGATTAAATCAAACCTATAAGCTAATAAATAATGAATATGGTTTTTAAAGAGTAAGGAGTATTAATATGTATTCAAAGTAAAAAGTTTTATTTATAAATTATATAAATATTATATTTTATTTAAAAATAAATATTAAAAAAAGTATTCTAGGTAGTTTTACTTCAATCTTTCTTATTTTTTTTGTCTCTCTTTTCATTAGATTTCTTTCCCTTTTTAAATAGCTTACATATTAACTTCAGGCTATAAATAAAAAAGGCTACGAATCCTATGATTATTGCTATTAACAGCGCTATAACATCAAGCAGACAATTCTGATACCATGCTAGATCGAGAGAACCGGGCCGTAAGTGATACGCGCCATTATGCCTCAGAACGTATTCTACCCAGTACACTGCTTTGTCTAGTTGGCTCATTGGTTTATCTTTAAAAATTTTACTCTTTTTTTGAGCATTTTCCTTGTATCTGAAAAAAAAAAAGAAATGATTTAATTACTAAATTAATTTTCATTTTATTACTACTTTTTTATTATAGAAAATGGCATTGAATTCATATTTCAGACACATTTCATAGATTACAGAAAACATGGTATAAAAAATTAGTAGTGAATATAAACTATTTTCATTAGAACTATTTACTGCACTCAATGATCATTCAATTTTTTTTATTTAAATTAAAACTCGAAACTTACTTTGGGTCATGAAGTAATTTGTTTATAGCCGTGTCCAGTTGCTCCTCAGTGACTGTATCTATGTCAATGCTTATAGCAAATCCTGATTGTTCTGCAATTTTTAGATTGAAATGCTGATCACCAAATATTGCTGTTCCTAGTATCGGGACAGCATTGAAGATAGCCTCAGTCAATCCATGAATTCCACCATGTGTGATAAATAAACGCATGTTTGGGTGACCTGCAAAAAGAAAAGGTTCAATTTTATAAGTTTCATTTATTTTCAATTATTTACTAAAGAAATACTTGAAAAACTAGTTTCTTATTCATAAAAATATTCATGGGAAGTAAATATTTTACCAAAAAATAATACATATTAATTATTAAAATAGGTTATATTATAAATGTATGACTTATTTTATTAGGGATTGTAATTTTAAGAAATCCCTGTAAAAATTCAAATTTGTTGCTGTGTGTAACAGTCTACACTACTATATAATACATAAAGCTTAAGAATTTCTTAGAACAAGCTGATTTTAGAAAGAACTTGTGCAATTTAAAACAAAAAACTTTATGTGTTACCGCTCATTTATTGAAAAAGCTTTCGGTTGTATGATATTCTATGACTGATAAAAAAATAAAATAAAAGAAAAAAAAACAGCAGTAATAATAAACTACAGGCAATTATGCTTCTCATAAATATTTTCTACAGTTACTATAAATTTAAAATGTTGGAAAAAAGTTTTCAGAAAAAGCATATTGGCAAAAACTTATTTATGCTATACTGATATTTAGAGTACACTGATTTGTTTAAACCACACTGTGTTAATAAAAATACTTTGTTGTTACAATAACACCACAAAACTAAAAATTACTTTATAGCCACCAGTCCTTTTGTTTTTAACATAAATTTCATGTATTTTTCAGTTAGTCAGATAGACTTGATCATTTGCTTCTCTTATTTATAATACAAATTTAATATGAGTTCAACTGCAAAGCAGAGCTAGTTAAGAGGTGTGGTTATTAAAAAGCAAAAATGTCGTAAACGTTTTAGTTTGATTCCATACTTATTTACTATCGCTACAACACTCTATGCCACTAGCGGATCCAGGATTTAATTTTTTTTTTTTTTTGGGAGCGAGGAGGAGCTTTAGTCCGAAAGATTTTTTTTTATATAAATAACGATAATTATTTTTTTAAAAAAGAGAAAGATACTAAATACCTATATGAAATGGTGTTTAAGTGATTCTTGAAGTCCTATTAAATGTAATTACAGGAACAATAATACTTATTTTTTAATATTTTTTCCATAAAACATGATTACATTTTATCATTTTTTTGGGGGGGAGTGGCTTTCGGGATGAAGCCATAGATCCGTCTGTGCTCCATGGGAACCTTCTTTTATATATAACAGTGCTGGAACTATTCTTCTGTAGACTTCTTCAGGGCCTCTTTTTCTTTTACATCTTCAATGGACTCAGATCTTGTTCCTAGTTATGCAAATTTCACCTTAGGAAAAGATAAAATTCGCACAAGATCTAATAAATAATGCGGATGCTCTAGCACTGGGATACTATACTTGGTTAAAAGCTCTTGAGAGACAATGAAGAATGAGCCAGCGCCTTGGTGAAGAACTCTTGACTTGTCCTTCCACAATTTTGGTCATTTTTTCCTTATTCTTTCACACAATTCAGCAAAAACGTGAAAGTAGTTAATTAATATCTTGATCTTTAGGATCCCAGTGAAGATGTACAATACCAGGAATAGTGAAAAAAACAATCATTGCTTTGAATATTCGAAAAATTTTGGCTTGAATATTGATAAAAATACATTATCTTAAACTTTTTTCAGTACACTATAAGTTTAAGTAGCCTTTTTTTATCTAAGTTTGAAGTGAAATTTTACAACTGTTCGTTGGTCTGTTGTTGTTGCACCTGATATATTTCTAGTGAAATAAAAAAACAACCTTAAGACTACAGCTGTATGGATTTGTTTACAGAAAGAAGCAAAGTCTACTTTATCCAAAAGAGAAGGCTTCACTATACAGCGCTGGGGTTTGGCGCATGTATAGTTATGTTACCGCGCTGGTCTTGTTACTTTATAGTCACATCTCAGATTGGCGAGGTTGCAACAACTATGCATGATCAAATATTTAGTAAAGCTAAAAGGAATGCATTAATTGATTTCTACCTGGGAGATTCAAAATTTACTAATCAAATTTCAATGTGACTATCCTACCCACCCAATTTGATTGATCATGCATTATTTTACTTTGCCTGCTAGTCAAGTATTATGGAAAAAAAAATATTGAAGCTTATTGTTTAGTATTATTCTGAAAAAATATACTCTTATTTCGGAAGGTTGAAATCTCTTTCTTAACTAAACAAATAGAAACTTTTAATTTTAATTTATTTAAAATACATTATAGTTAGTTACATAAATATAAATAAATAAATAAAATTTTTTTAACTTTTACTAAGATAGAATGCATAAATCTTTATTTCTTTATATTTTACTCTACTTTATTTATTTTTACTTGGTACTCATCCATTAGAGCAATTAATTTTTTATTTCTTGCTTTTCCTCCTATTTTCTTTAATCCTTTTTATTTATTTATTTTTTAGCTAAACAGCGATTATTTTGTTTCATTTTTTATATGTTAGTTTTATAAAGTTTTTGTATTTATTTAATGTAACTCTTTTTATTTAATGTAGTTCTTCTGGCCAGAATTATTTATTTTGTTCTGTAACCTTTTGTGTTATTCTTAGAGGACCTGATCCCAGAATAAAGTTATTTTTCTATTTCTATTTCTAAATATGAGATGATTATTGTGAAACCGGTTCACTCAACTTTTTACCAAAAAAATGATCTACCTTATTTTCCAAAAGATCTCAATGAACTGCTTCAGTTAGCCAAACGGTATTTGCAAAATAAAAATAAAAGGAAGAAAGTTATGTTGCTTTATTGTATATTTTGTTATACTATCTGTTATATAAAATAAATTTCTAGTTATTTAAGAACTAATTTTAGCTGATTTTACTGATAAGAAATATATATTCTCTTCAGAGGATTGATAAGAGAAACAGAATATAAAAGAAACAGTAATAAACTACAATTTAACTTACTAAATGATGGACTCAATTCCTTATTTATTACTATTCAAAAGTAAAAGCATTTTTTTAAACTTAATTGTGAATTGTTAATGGTCTATTTGTGATAGCGGTTATATTATTATCATTTAGATTAAAATTTAATGGATCGAAAGGAAAAAAGGGAGTAAATTAAATATTTTTCACCATTGATATGTTACACTTACTAAGTAGACTGGCTTGAGGAAACCACTTGTCAATTTTAACATTATCGGGCTTTCCGGGTAGTGTATCTGTTTCCCACTTCATCAAAACTTTTTGCTTCAATTTCCCAAATACAGACATAAAACTAGAAAGTAATTTAGGTGGCATGTTGGTCATATTATAGTGAGAACCCCATGTAAAGAAGATTACACCTTCTTTAGATTCATTCATGAATTTCTGTAAATCCTGAAACGCAAATAGAATTTAATTCAATACAGTGTTACTACATACCAGCTTTATGTTAACTAGATTTTTTTGTAATTTATGAATGTAATATAATTGAAAAATACATTTTAATCTTCTAAGCTAAGACTAAGTTTAAATGATTGTTATACTCATTTGTGAACTTATCTAAATCCAGAAAAAAAATTCCAAATATATCTCAAGTAGTTGGGGAAACAACTTAAGATTTTAATTTTGATACAGCTTTTTATCTAATATATTATGTATAAAATATGTAACAGTTCTATGTTCAAATAATGGTTGAAAGAAATGTTACAAGTATCTGTTACATGACCCTAAGGTACAGAATTGAAAAATTCCCCCCAATAATAAATATTATAAGAAAAATAAGGAAACAATAAACTGCAAATGCCAAAATTAAATACTGCGCATATTTACTACTAGAAAGTATTAATTCATGAGCGAGAGATAAAATTAAATTCAAAATAATCAAATTTTTTTTTGTGTGTTTTTCTTCCATAGGTTTTAGTATCAATGTTAAGTGATAAAGGAAAAAATATTTAATTTATGTATTATTATGCAGTAAATGTTACTTATTGTGTAATCGCTATTCCAATTTCTTGCTTAAAACAATTGAAATGTCTTGTATTAATGAAAATAAGTTTTCCATTTTGGACCCCTAAAAAAGTCATTACTTTTATGCAAACAGAAATATATAAAAATAGAGTAATTTAGAATAGCTAGGTCATGAACAATGTTATTATATATGTTATTATTAAAATATTCACAAACTTCATACTTTATGTAATTTCATTAATAACATTAACACATTATTATAATTAATAAAATGAATGAATGAATAAATTATAATAATATTTCTATTCTAGCTCTATTCAAGCTGGAAAATGTTATAAAATATTTAAAAAACTTCCTATTTTATGTAATTTCATTAAAAACATTAACAGCTCATATAGTTATTCAAATGTAATAAGTTCATTTTTTTTATTGATACACCTACCCTGCCATTTCTGGCACAGGTAGGATTTGTTCTAGAGGTACAACCAAATCTATTCTAATCAAAGTGTGAAAGTCACGATTCTTCCATGGGTCAGCCCACAAAATAAATTTTAATCAGCCATGGCTGGATTCGAACTGGTGTCATTAGACCCAAGAATATTTATGCTTTATATAACAGGCTCGGCCATCACGACCTCAAGTTAATTTTATAAATAAAATAAATAAAAATAAAATAAATCACTATAATATTTCTATGAATGTCAAGTATTAGAAGAAACATTCTGTTACTTACAACTGGCAGTTGACCTCCACTTTTTACTGAAAGTCCACCAAATTCGATCATATTAGGAAGATATGGACGTGGGTGATTGAACGAAAAGTCATTGTCAATTAAAAATAAAGAAATATTGTTCTGCATTTTTGATAATGATGGTAAATTTTCAAACCCTGGATGTTTACTTAATTCTCTTGCATATTTTTCCTGTAATGCCATTAGAAAAATATAATAATGATAATATACTTTTGACAATCTTTCAGAATTTCTGTTTTAGTTATAAATACTCACCATTTTGCTTGAATAATAATAATCTACAATCAATTCCACTGTGCCGACTACAGTATTCTGAAATCTTTCCCAAAATGTCATATGATCAGTGAATTTTAATTTCAAATTAGGGATGTACGAAAATGGGTGAGAGTTTCCAGCTGCTGCTGACAATCTTGGTGACATACTGGTGCTCACTAGCGATACAATCGGTGCACCATACTTGTGACCAAATGCCAGAAAAGGTAGTTGGCAAAAAAAGGGTTCTACTATCACTAAATCAAATTTTGAATCCCTGTCATTGAGAAATTCTCGAAATTCTGGTAACTCAAAGATAGCATCTAAAAATCCAGGACACAATGACCAAAAGCCAGTAAACATCTTTAAGAAACCAGTTAATGCTCTCAGATCTGTCCCACCATTTCCTGGTGGATCTAAAAAAAATAAAAGGAATGCAATAAATAAATGCTATATTCATACTAGAAAGTTTCTTTAGTCAAATTATTGATGAATTTATAATTAACTATACATCTCCGAGCATTTTCAATTCAAATTCTCTGTTTACTCCCACATAACCCGTTTCTGGTATTCAGATTGTCCCAGACCAAATAAAGCATTATTATTATTAATTTGTACCTATTGACTTACCCAATTTAAAATTTTTTCTTACTATCATTATTAAAAGATTAAGACTAAAGACTTACGCATAATTTTATCTTTCGTATCCGTCATCACAATATCTCTGAAATTTGGAATTGGTTTCTTCTGAGGATATGGGCTCACCATAGTCACATTGTGACCCCTGTTTGCTAATTCTTTCATAATCGGGAGAAAGGCATTCAAGTGGCTAAATGTTGGAAATGGCATCACAGCTAATATATTCGATCCATAGGCAGCAGCTATTGTACAGAGAAGAGCGATCATAACAGACTTCATGTTGCTGTTGATCTGTAACAATTTTTTAAAAATTAAAATTTATTTACTATCTTTGTAGTCAGGAATTGCAAAAATCTTTCTGAACATGGCATTGGAAATTACATGATAATAAAACTTTAGGTAAGGAGAAGATGAAAGATAATAATGATATTACATTTGCTTTTGTTAGTACAGACAATAATGGGTGAACAATTCCAGTAAGTGGGTCTATAAGAAATAATTGCTATAGAGACTTGCTTATCAAGAAGAGTTGAATAAGTAAAGAAACTAAAATTATTATTAACTGTTTGTTTCATTTATTCAATAAAAAACGAATAGGTTATATACAACGTTTTTGAAATATAAAGCTCTAAAAAGATACCAGAATCAAGGTCAGTCCCAAATTAAATCAAAAGTTATTGTTTCAATGAATCATTAGAGATCTTCTGCTTCTTTTGGATATGCATGCAGCAAAAGGATCATTCTAAAGATTTCAAAGAATTATAGTGATGTGGCATTGTATATTCTATCCGTCGATGTTAAATATAATAATATAATGAAATTTTTAACATTAATACTGTTTGAACACCTAAAGAATTTACTATAGATAAACTATAAATAACAATAATAATTAACATAGTTTTTGTCTACAAAATAAGGAACTGCACATAAACTTTATATTTAATTTAACCATCATACTTAATAAAAAGAATATATTGATTCCAAGAGTTACAATCTCTTGTAATCAATATATAGTAGATACACATCTAAGTATATGTTGTATGTATTAAAAAAAAATCAATATAAAGATAATGTTATGTACAGTTTGTTATTATATCAACATTTTTCAGCAAGTTTCTTTTTTTTATATCTAATTATGTAGTGAAAAATTACTTCCCTTATAATATTTTTTAATAAAACATTTAAAAACTTTCGGAAATCTCTATTGTCAGGATTCCATTCTTTAATAATCGTTGCACATAGTTTTTGATTTTTCCAGAACAATAATCCATATAAAAATATTTAGTCATAAAATAATTTTTTAAAAGATAAAAAGTGAACTATTCTGGAGAAATCATGTTGGCTAAATCACTCTATAACATAATAATATATACACAACAAAATGGAATACACAGCATGCATCGACCTGGAAGGTGGTGCCCATCTCTTGTTAGGAATAAAAAAAAATTAAAAAGTATATGGAAATAATTAATTTTAGCCTATTGATGAAGCAACTGAATTAGAGATATATTGAATGAAATAAAATTTAAATATTACTTAATATAAAAAACTTTATGAAATAAATTAAATTTTGGGAGGGGAGATGAAATCATTATCTGCCAAATGTCTAAGGACGGCACTGGGTATACACTATGGTCTAGTGTAGAAATGGACTGAATCAGGAAAGGACAATACTCAAAAAGATGACCCAAGTTTTAGCTTACACAGATGCTCAGTCATCATCAGGACACCCCTAAAGAGCATAAAGTTATCCTTTGAAGCACTTGTAGAAGCTAAGAAGATCGGCCTACACATTAATGAAGGGAAGACAAAGATTATGGTAACAGCCAATAAACAATAGTTTCACAGGCGGATTCACTATGAAATGAATACTTTTAGTTTGAGTAGGGCAAGAAGAAGAGATGAGAAGGAGAATCACAGTAGAGAACAGAGCTTATTTCTCCATATCAAGAATTATTAAGAGCAGACTGATAAGCTCTACCAACAGGTTAAGACTTACAAGAGCCTCCTTATAGTACCAATAGTCTTATAGGGTGGTTAGCCAAAGCGCTAATGGAGGGATGATTTAAGAAAGATTCTTTGGCAATCCAGGATTTCTATTAGCCAGCGAAATGGTTGGCAGCTGTTGAGCAGTCCTAGAGCAGCTTTAAAATAGTTTCCAATTTATAAAAGCACTCTAGCATCTACTTTCAGTTACAATATTCAAATATTTCGCCAATAGATGAAGAATTTTTAGTGCAAACATTCAGATTTCTTAAATTTGTCTTTGTTTTTTACCACAAAGTATATATATCAAAATTAATTGTTTAATACAATCCATTTTTCAGTTGCCGGTTGTTTATTTATTCTTCCTTTATTCCAGATAAAAAAATTTCTCACCTTCCGAGAGAAAGGGGAACGCCCAATCGCGCCCCTCTCCTGGATTCGCTAGTGCTCTGACTAGACTTGGACTAGCATGGGGAGGAGTGAATAGGACAAGATGGAGTTGTCAAACATGAAACTGCATGGAGTTGTCAAAAAATGTCTGGCGAAGTTGAGGGGGGTTGTCCCACTGGTACACAGTGGGACCAGTAAGGGAAAACTGGAGACATCTACAAGAATCTGTCTAAATCACAGGCGGATCTACGGGGGAGGGAGGCTTTCGGGCTGAAGCCCCTCCCCCAAAAATGGTAAAATATAACCATGTTTTACAGACAAAAATATTAAATACGATCTCTTAAAGTATTCTTGTTCGTGTAATTACATTTAATAGAACTTCAAGAACAACTTAAACACCATTTCATGTAGGTAGTTAATTTATTTCTTTTTTTTCTAATTAATTATCGTTATATGTATATGAAAAAAAAATCTTTCGAACTGAAGCCCTCCCCCCAAAAAAAATTAAATCCTGGATCCGCTGGTGGTCTAAATCTATATTTTTTTTAGAACTTCAAAAACTAGATGAAGTTTTAGATAAACTGATACCTTGTGTTGTTCGTGGAGTTCCCGAAAATATTTTCAGTTGGCAGAATATATATATTTTCAGTTTTTATTGAATAGTGCCATTGGGGGAAAAAAAAAATGATTTGATGAGTTGTCGGGAGTTTTTCCTTACGCGTTCCACTAACTGCCCGATGGTGTACTTTTGCAAATATCAAGGATGTATTTCTGCAAAGATAATTAACATAAAATATTTTGTAGTGCATTATATCAGTTTCGATTTGAACCTTGATAGGTCTCTTTATGTTCAATAGTTCAAGAGAAACGATCTTCTATGTCTTTTTAAACTATGATAAATCATCCTTTTGGGATTATATTTTGGCAAATATCATGGTAACTGTTAGATGAAAGATATTTAATAATAATTATCTTCGTTTAATTACTCATAGAAAAAGCAGCTTCTATGATATTTTCTGAAATAAAATCCCAGAATGGAGATTCTGTTTAAAACAAAAAAAAACAAAAAAACATAATCACGCGTTCAAGATCATCAAGTTCAGTAATACTAAATGAAAGAAATAAAATAAATAAATCTGAAATATATATATATTTTTTTGTCACTTCCTCTCAACTCTTTGTCAACTATATTGATGCAATACAAATTATACAAGTTAATAGAAGATATTTGAAATAGTTACTTGAAAACGCTCGTACAGTTGCACCCACGCTTCTTTCGGTTCTGAACTGATGTATCTTTGGGTACACTGTATATTTATGTTTATCTACGATTTGGTTGTTGATTACTTATCTTATCAGTAGATAATAGCCATTAACTGATTTAAGTTCTGGTTAATTACTGAAACTAATGCAAAGCAGAATATCAACAATTGAGAGTACTAATTTACCAAATACTCATCGTAGCATAAATTACGTCATCGGGCACGTCTTAAGAGAGATGGTAAATTATGATGACAGCACAGACCTAGAAGAGTTTCGCTGTTTTAAAATTATTGTACTGATTGAATATTTATTACTTTTTAAATTTTATTATAGTTTTAGAATTTCACATACTCCAATCAAGGACAAGGTTTAGGCTCAAACGTAAAATTATGTTTAAAAACTTCTTGACGATGTTCGATGTGCTGAGAACTGCTTTCTACCCTTCTTCCAACATTTTCTGTTTTCTGGAAATTACTACCGAATAAGCCTTTGCATGTCCTTAAAAGCTTTTGTCACAAGTCGTGATATTTTCTTTTCGTCTCTGATATCTTCTTTCCGACATTTTTATCGGTAGGGACCGCAATTTCAATAATATAGCCACTTAATGTCTTTTAATCAACTCATACTATGTCGTGTTTGTTATCTACTACCTTGTGGTCTTTAATTATAGTACTCCCAATACAATATTCTATTTTATCCTGACAGTGTCAGTTTGGGCATATACTCGTCAGTTATCGTGTTATATAATGAGGGCTTGATGCACAATCTTTGTCAAATTATTGTGCCTCATTAAGTATTCCTTACATGCCATATGCCGATTAATATATTCTGGATTGACTCGGTTGCATTTTTACATATAGCATTGTAGGAGATATTATTATAACCATATAATAATAATAATGCTTTATTTATTCTGGGACGAGTCCCTTTAGAATAATATAAAAAGACAATAATATGGGCTAAGGAGCCTTAGAGATACATAAAGAGAAATATAGAGTAATTAAATAGTCAAAATAAAAAAAAATAATAGAAAAAATTATAAGTTACGTACTAATTTAGATCAGTTAAAAATAAAAAACAAAAAATTGAAAATAAACATGAAATAAATATAATGAAGAACGCTCTAATAATTTATATACATATTTACAGTAGTAACTATTTACAATTTTACTTTTCTATACTATTACAATAGTAGGAAGGAATAATTGGGTAGGGAAATCTGGGAGTAAGGGATAAAAGGTTTTAACCAGGTTTCGGATATTGCTATTATGTGGTAAAAATTATCAAGGAAATATTCCTGAAATTCATTCTAGTGTGCAGTAAGGGATTGTGCATCGATGTGATAGGAATTTGTATCTTTGAGTTGAATTTATGATTGGAGGGTTGGGAAGTAGGATTTTGGAAAAAGAAATGATCAAGGATGGAGGGTAGGATATAGCATTTTTTAAGCACATAAAAATAAAGCCATATAGTGCTTTAATTTTTCAACTTTCATACTGATCGAAAGTTCCTTGGTTAGGACCTCTTTATATTCCGTTGAAACTAAGTTCAAAGTAGTTTAGGCATCGTCCAACCTTATTACCACCATACAGGAGAGTTCCTTAATTGAAAAGTGGATCTTAAGATATTTCCTTGCTCTC